TTCCACAATAGAAATCAAATACTAAAGAAAATATTCTTCAATATTAATTTCACTCGTATCATTTTTTAAAAGAATCCCGACATTAAACAGGTTTAGTTGTCAGTCAAATGCGTCTGGGCGAGTTATTCTCGTTCTATCCCACGACTAAAGAGGAAGGAATTCCTCAGGCTTTCGTGAAAATTTCGAAGTAATCTTCAAAAATTGAAAATAATGAAGGAAATTTTTCGCATTACGCTTCGTGCGCGAAACAGTTTTCGTACAAGGCATTTTTAATGAGAAGAAAATGGCCACAAGAATAGGAAAGAACCTTTTGCTCTTTAAAAATACAAAATCTTTTCTCATTGCTTCCAAATCATGTTTAATCATTGCAGAACCCACAGGAAGCTGTGGAATGGGACTTGAGGCAATTTGAAACAGTGTGCCGCCTGCTGGTTAAAAAAAAATCATGTTACAACAAACTTTGTTTCAACAAATAAATCTATGAGATGCCTCCAGTACAGACACGATGCTATTGGATGCTCATCAAAACGATATTTCTTAGAATAACATTTCTTTACAAGATATCTTGCTGCAACAAATTATTCACAAACTTATTTTTCAAGTTTCTTCAGTGCAACAGAAGTTTCATTAGATTCATCAATTTTTTTTATAAAATAGATTTCTTGAGGGCAACAAGATTTCAATGCATATTAAAAAAATATTTCCAGGTCCGAAGGGCTTTGCTGTAACAAGATTTTCTGCATAAAAAGAATGACCCCTCAGGTTCCACGAAAGAAGGCATCTCACGTATTTCGTCCCCCAGTTTCCCATTCCGCTTTTAATCAGGAAAAACGATCAAGCATGCACATCGCATAAACAAAAGCACCAAAAAGGCACCCCCCACCAAGAAGAGGAGGGTCAAGATTTTTTCACAGCCCTTCCAGCAAGCAAAAATAACACACAGAAAAAAGAAGAAGATGAAGAATCATCACTCGTCCCTCTGCCCGCAACAGCGTCGTATCTCTCGATCGACAGCGCGAAGCTCCATCAAAAGAGCCTCCACGGCTGCGGCAGAGGCTCGGAAAACTATCTTCTTTTCGGGATTCTCGGTTTCCAGTTGGAAAATGGCGTGTTTTTCGCTGGGTCCTTTCGATTCCGGGTCCACGGGCACGGAAGCAGTGACCCTGGCGGACACACTCGACAACTGCGGGTCCCAGAGGGTCTGTTTCGCGAGGCTGGATGACACTGATGACCGGTTCTTCTTCCACCACTCGCCCAAAGCCTGAAAAATAGGCATAAACGACAAAAAATTCGAAAAATTACAATTTCCTGTTGTTTAGTGGACTCGAGAGAACAAGTGTGTCAACAGTACATGTAAAAAAAAAGCATCGGGAAATGAAGCTTGAGGTTGTACTTCAGAAGCAAAACACCTTCCACACTTTCCATTCTTATGATTGAGCTGAAAAACAATTTTTGTTCTGAAAAAAAAAATTCTTTGACACAAGAAAAAATAAATCCACCCTGTTGACACATTTTTTTTTTGTAAATGCCAAATTGGAAACTTCACTCTTCTTGCTCAGATTTTTTGGCATAGACAAGATTCTCCCCCACCATTATAACAACCTCCAATACTGTATAATGACCCTTGTATTTGGCACTCCATTTCTTTCCAACAAAAGAAAGTGGATGTTGTTTTAGCCAAACTTTGTCTTCAATATTGTAGGTTGTTCCTTTTCAGTTGTTGTCCTTCTCCGGTTACAGTTATATTTACAAGAAATATATTTAGTCAGTTACTGGAAAGAACTGAGTCACTTGTGTTTAAAATTGACACAGCATTAATTCCAAGAGTTGCAGATATTGATCAATCATTAATTCCGCCATCTTCGTCAACAGCCGCCATTTGGGAAGCAAATTTGGCGGATGTCTATAAAAATGGCGGAATTGCCTTGGAAGACCTGAAGGCATCAATCTAAAATTTTAAAAATTGTGATGGGAAATCTGGACTGCACATGAAAAATCTGCAAGATCAGCGCCTCATTTTTCGAGTGAAGAGCAGAAAGCTGCCACGGGCGACTTTTGCGGAAATTTTCCGAAAAAAAGAAAATTGTCAAACAAGTTGTTTCTTGACACAAAAAAGTTATTTTTTCCGATAAATAGTTGTTTTTCAACCCAATCGTAAGCAGTTCAAAATTTCTATTCCGAAAACATTTGATAGATCCCTCATAAAGAAGTTTTCTATCGCAAATGCCCTCGAATGACGTTATTCGGTTTTTAGAGGAAGAAGTCTCGGACCCAATTCCACGTGTCAAACAGCAATCGGAAGAAAAACAGGCCTGGGTTCTTCTGATTCAATTTCCTTTGCATCCGTTTTTAGAAATTAAAAAAATAATAATACTGAACGAACGAACGACTGCGTCAAGAACTAAAAAACAAAATGAGGCATTCGGAATTGAAAGTTCTTGTCCTTGCTGAAAATTCCGGAAAAACCGACGGCACACTTTTAATTTTAGAGAAAATTACAGTAAAACCTTACAAAGCACAAGAAAACAGTATGTACAAAATCCTGCCTCAATTTCCTACAAAAATTAAAATAAAACATTCGCAACGCACCCAGGCATCATCGAAAGTCAATCCACTGTCTTTTTTCTTCACCATCGAGGTCAAATACGCATCCAACTGCTGGTCGCCCATGTCAGACGAAGATATGTTCTGTAACACAAATCATTTGAAAATCTCACACAAAGATCAAAACAAACGCATCACAATAAAAATATCCTTAGTTCTCAACAAAATGCAGCCAAAACAAAATGCTGAAACAAAAAAAATAAATAACTTGTTCACTTCCACTCCAACGATTAAAAGTTTCAGGAACGATTTTCAAGCAACAATAATTGAAAAGCTGATACGAAAGTCCCCTTCCATTGCTTTGAAACCATTTTTAGTAAATTTTCCATATCATGCTTCCTGTTGCTATTTGAAAAAGAGCTACTATGTAACCTAAAAAAATTACAACGCAGTAAGAAGAATATTTCATTGATCTCCAAAAACTTTGACATGATTGAAAGTTGGAAATTTGGCTCATAGAAATCTTTGGTTGGCGTAATTCAATTTTCGTCATTATTCAACTTCTGTACTGTTCTATGAATGAATGAATATAACACTTTATTTGCCTCAAGTCCCCTTCCATTGGCAGAAGGGACGAGATTAGATGAACTCGCAGCAAAAAACCATGGGCGAGATCAGTAGTAACCAATGGGAACCTGAGCTCCGTTTGCTCATCAGAATGCTAAGAGAAATTTTTCGCACCGGAATTCTTCAAGATTTCCACAACCAAACCCCCTTCCCACCCAACCCAAATACTATTTTATTAATGTAATTTAAAAATTCGTAGTCAAAAATGTGGAATATCGAGGTCTTACGATTTTTAAAATTAAATTTTCGAGAATAGCTCAAGAAGGAATGAGCTAATTCCACAATTCTTAGCAGGTTAATTTAAATTGGCCTTAGAATTGATTTCTGAAGCCTTCACGAACAAAAGGCGTATGCGATCATTTATCTCATCGTCATTTCCTTATTCCAGTCGGCTACTGCGGCATTTTATTCCCCGCGAAATTTTCTCATGGCAACCAACAACAAAAAACACGTTTCAGTTTAAAAATTCACCTTCAACAGCAAAGTGAAACGTTTGTAGAGCAATTTGAAGACATCAACATCCACGTCAGGCATGAGTGACTCTCGCAACGAATTCACTTCAGACTCCGTCACATTAGATCTCACCAAACGTTCACAAATCGCAGCGAACAGCTTCTCAATCCCGACAGGCGCCATTTCTTTCAGAATCTTGAAAAAAGAAAACAGGAATTCACCTTTTCCGTCAATGATAAAACAGCCATCAAACTTACAATGAAAGCAAATAGAGAAAACTCATATTTTTTTGATTGAAAAAATCGTTGTACTCAAAACATCTAAAAAAAGAAAAAAACAACAAAAAAACTTAGTCATCACTTGACAATAACTTTCAATGAATCCCATGTTTCACAATGCCAGCATATGAATTAAAAAATTTACACATTGGCAAAAAAAGAGTTTATGGCCAATCATTTTCTTTGGTGTAACCATGTCAGGACATACATTTCTCTTTTTCACGGCTAACAATTCAAAACCAGAAAATGCAGCTTTACATTATAATGAAAATAAATTCATGTAAACAACAAAGTACTTAAAGATAAATTGAAAAATAAAAATGGTTTGATTCTACACTGATCTCTCTTCTCAATTACGAAGTAAAGTTGAACCTCTTCAAGTCACATTTTAAGAAAACAGAAAAAAATTGACTTGGGGGAAATGGCTGTTTTCTGTTGGAGATAAATATGAAGAATGACAGGGAAATACAGTGAAACCCCCACATGTGGACACCTCTACATGCAGACAATTCAACATAGGGACACTTATTTTCCCAAAATAAATTAATAAAAAAGGCCCAACACGAGGATACTGACTCAAAATAGGGACATTTTGTGATGAAATTACAAATAAGTTTCAGACCAAATTACAGGAAACAGATGTTTCCAACCCTAAAATTGATGCAAGAAAAGTTCTTGGGCATTTCTCTCACAAATGTACCATCTATTTAGCTAATTTTAAAATTAGCTTCTCTCTGTTTCACTTGAATGTTATTTTTACAGAGAATGCCAACATTTCTATATACTGTTCAGAGGTATCAGTATTCAATTCCCCAAATGTTCATATTGTGTGGAAATATATTGATTGTATCAGTTTCAATTGGGAGACAATTTTTATTTTCATGGAATTATGGTGAGTGTTTTGTCCATGAAACACCAATTAAAAAATTTAATAATGTAAGCCTAAGGGAAAATGAGACTTGACTTGAGGACATTTCAACTTAGGGACACTCTTGATGCACAAATTACGTCCGCATCTCGGGGTCTCACTGTAAATGTGTGATATTTCAGGATGGACAGAAATCTAGAGCCTGAAATTCACGCTATTCTTCAACAATCTTCACATGCTGCTCAATCACGAACCATAAAACATTCCACGAGTCATGAACAATTTTCGTAGGAAAGCAATTGTAGAGAGAAACAAAACAAAAACACTCAGACAACTTCCTCAGCATTCGCAGGGTTCAGATCCTGGTTCAAAATGTAGTTGGTCACAGTCTCCGTCGTCGCACGAACGTCATGCACCGACTTCAAGTGCGCAATAAACGCCCTCTTCTCGGGCTCCACAGAGTAGCACAACGAGCACATGAGCTCTTTCCCAATCAGCCGTCCGTGCACTTTCCGCGTGTGGTTCGTGTAATGCTTCCGCACGTAAAACACCTTCCCGCAATGCTCGCAAATGTACTTCTTGAGCCCCGGCAGTTCTTCCCCGTGGTCAATGAACATGTGGCCAATGTAGGCGGACCGGTAGTTGAAGACTCGTCCGCATCGCTCGCAGGCCACCGTGCTCTTCACGTGGCACACTTCGCCGATGTCGTGCTTGCGGGCCATGTGGTCCTGCATGCTTCGTTTGCTCGTGTACTGGTTCCCACACAACTCGCAGGTGAACAGCCTGGTAACAAAAACAAAAAAAGTCCCATCTTTCAATAGAAGGTTCCACACATCACCAGTGGTATCCCACTTTTTAAAAAAACAAACAAGATATGTCTGAGAGGAAGGAAAAAAACCAATACATTCCCGCTTCAGATAAAAACCCCAATAAAACCGTTTTTTTTACTCTAGAATTTTAAAATGATTATTTCTTCTCCCTTCGATGCATAAATATATATTTTTTTGTTGTTTCAAACTGTCCAGAGACCTTCAAATAAGGTACGATCACCTCATCCGGAACGAAATCCCGCTCATAAATCCGAATATATTTCTCCATCACTCATGAAATCGCGAAAATTTCGCAAGAAAATAAGCAGGACATCTTGTTACTGTTGCTCTCAAATATTTTCGCTTGCAATAATGATTTTCCTCATAAACGGAATCCGAGCAAAATGAAGTTCGATTTAGTTGATTTTCGAATAAAGAGGGGAATACATATTTTCAAATTAGACAGTGGGAATAGGTTCGCAGTGAAAACCTTTCGTTATCGACCCATCGCTGAGATTATTTTCAAGACGAAGGATAATTAAAATTGAGCAACAAAAATAATTATCAGGAAAGTTTGATTGTGAATCGCGAAGACATCCAAAAACCTAGAATACAGCGTTTCCCCGCATAACGAAAAAGTTGCAAAAAATTTCTTCAATAGGGAAAAGTTACCTCCCAAAACGAAATTTTTCGTCCCAAAAATGATCCAATTTCGAAAATTTTTTTCAATTTTTCGAAAATTGAGGGAAATAAAAAAAGAGGAGTGTACTTTTGCATCTTTTCGTATTCTAAAATTTCGCTACGTAATTTTCATCAAAAATTGGTAAAATTAAAAAGGGGTAGAGTAAAAGTTTATCAAGATACTCGAATTTCATACTTAAAATTTCAAGGTTAAAATTGTGTGTAAAGAAAAAAAAAATGAGAAAGCGAACCGTTCCAAAATTTTTTTGGCGAGCGTCTGGAACAAACAGAATGTATTACAATTCAATCTCAAGGAAAAAATCGCGTTTCGCTGTACAAAAATTCCGCATAACGAAAACATACCCACAAAACAGATTCGTTTCGTTATTTGAGGACCGCTTTTATACAGTTTTGTCACATCGTAAAAACGCACCTGACTTCGCCCTTCTCCTTGTTATGCTTGGACATGTGATTCGTGTAATTCGTCCTCAGCACGATTTCCCCGCAATCCGGACACAGCTTGTAATTCGAACCCGGGTCCACGTGCCCTCGTTTGTGCTCCTTGAACCGGTGTATGCTGTAAAACTGCAAGTCCGGACACAGTGGACACATGAACCTGGCCTCGCCCAAATGCTTCTTGGCCTTGTGCGCCAAAGAAGACTCGCGCAACATGAACGTTCTTCCGCAAACGTCGCAGTAAAACGGCTTCGCTTCCGGATGCACCATGCACATGTGCAGCTCGTACTGCGACCGCAACGGAGCGATGAACCGACACAACCTGCAACGAAAAAGGACATTTTATAGTTACCGGGCATACAATTGAACACAGCGTAGTGTGATTCCCCGCATTACGAAACCAATCTCTTCCCGGGTGTGTTGCGTTATGCGAAACACGCGATTTCCTTCAGGGTTACATTGTAAATGATCAACTTTGTTTCAGGGTCTCACGAAAAAGGCCATAAAAGCCATATTAACTGCTTTTCCCCATAGAATCTGAATTTAAAAATATATACTGGATTTCCTCAAGTACCACGGGCCCTTGAGTAAGGCGCGCACAGAGGATTTTCAGTTGAAAATTTTGCAAAAATCTTATCTCCGAGTAAGAGGCGCACCCCAATTTTAAGTGAATTTAAAACCATAAAATTTCAAAAATAAAAACAAAAAATTTGACTTTAAACGGGAATTGAGCAAAAATTTGATCAATTTTCAACGTTTTCAATACAAAAATGTTTTCTTGTCATATTTGTTCCAAATTTCTCCATTATAATTAAGTATAATGCATACATAGCTTCCCAAAACTTCTTGAAAATTTTGTACCCGCTTATGACCCTTTTTTTCTTCTGAAATTAGGGAAAAAAGGTGCGCATGGTACTCGAGTAAATACGGTAATTCAAATACATATACTTCATGATTTAATATATAATTTAAATATATATTTAAATAAATACATATACTGATCATTTATGTATATATATATACATACATATACTGATTATATACATATCAGTATATATATATATACATGCATATATATACTGAAATTAAATGTATATAATATTCAAAAATTTAAAAATGCAGTATAAAATTGAAGTAATTCTTACAAAGTCGTGCTCCAAACCAATTCAATTTCGTAAATTTTCAAGGCACAAAGAGACAAAGGAACACTCTTTTCTAATTTTATCCAATGTCGAAAGAATTCTGAAGTTTCAGTCGAAACATTTTCTAAATTTGAGCGTTTTTGAAATTTTTGTAACGCGAAGAATGATTCCTCTTGAGGTCGCATTGTAATTGTGAGTTACTTCTTTTTTTCCAGACACTCACCAAAAAGCCATGGTAAACTATAGAACAGTACACTTTTTCCTAATTTTTGAAAATAAAATTATGAATTTAAAATTTATAATTATAAAACTTAGGTAATCCTGATGGATTTTATTCGTCTGACCAATGTCAGCAATTTCGAAGACAAGAAGAGGCAAACGAAGACTTTTCTTCACTCAACTTCCCGAAGAACTTCAAAATTTCAGTCGAAAACTTCAAGCGTTTTTGCAACAAAAAAAAATTATTCATGGGAAACAATTAGGTTATACAGGTGTACTCATTTTTCGTTGCACGGGGACACACGGTAAATCGCAACCAATTTTCTTCTTTTCTCGCTCTCTCTCTCTCACCTGCAACGTTCAAACTCTTGTCCAGACTCGATCCTCTCCCCCAGGGTCCTCACGGGTTTCCCCTGATGCGAATTCGCCACGTGAGATTCCACACTATCCGCACTCATCACTCGACGACACTCGATACACGCAGCCTTGTTCAACACACCCGCATAATGCTTTTCCATGTGCTCCTCGTAGCCAGCCACTGTTTCAAAGGATCGCCCACATTCCCAACACAGAGCACCCCCCGGTTTGGCGTGACTGTTTCTGTAATGCTTGTAAAGCGAAGGCAAACTCGCGAACTGCTCTTCGCATTCCTCGCATTGTTTGCGGACTGACGAGGACCGGAGCCATTTGAGCAGAGCCTGGTCCGCACTGGTGGATGAACCCGGTGTGGATCGGGGTTCGACGACGGGGAAAATGGGTTTCTTCTGAGGAGATGTCGGGGCCAGACGCGGTTTCTTTGTGGGTTGTTGTTGTTGTTGTTCAGAGAAGTGAACTTGTTTCTTGGCTGATTCCTCAGACATGATGATCGCGGGCAATTCGTGCGTGGGGAGGGTTTCGTCGAGGTCGTCGTCGTAGTGGTCTTCGTCGCCGTCGTCGTCGAAGAACTCGTCGTCCTCTTCCATCTCGTCCTGAAATTTAATTCAGACCTTGTCCAATCCATTCAAATGGTTACGATTCTCAACTCCACGGAAATTTTGAGAACTTCTACGGGAAATTGAGGAATTTGTTTGTCACTTCCTGGAGTCAAAGTCGAACTTTAAGGAACCATAAAAACAAATTAGGCTAGGGAGGTTCCGAGTTTAGGAAACAAGCATTTTTGTTTGGGGAAAAAGAAAAATTACAGGAAATTGCAATACGTGATATTCTAGACAAGCCTTAAATTGCTTCTTGAATGAGTTGACAGGATACTGCACTTGGAGGCAAGGGTTTGTTTGCCCGAATAATCTTCCACTTCCTTTCAAAACACATCAAGTCACATTTTCATTGCTTTTCTTCTTCTTGCGTCAATAAAATAGTGATGAAGGTTTGGAGGGGGGGGGAGCCTTTGAGTTGGGGAGGTTTCTGATAGATTTTTCCACGCGAATTTAGATAAAGGGACTTGAAGAAAAATTGGACATACAGAAGTATTCGACTTCGAGAGGTTTTCGATTCATCGAGGTTCAATTCCATATCATTCACTTCCAAAAGAAGAAGAAAAAACGGGATCCCACACTGATCTTTTTCCGTAACATCACAAAACAACAATCCAGCAAATTACAGGAATGAAGAAAGGAAAAAAAAATATATATATATATATTCGAACCAAGTTTGCAGGCCCGTGGTCTTCCTTATCTGTCAACGGACGAATCACGATTGCGGTTTTGGCGAGTTTATATTTCTTGTAAATGGCATTAACATTGACTTGCTGTTCAGCTTGGTCATTGGTCTCAGCAGAATTTCGTTTCCTCCGCGTCATACTCCGAGTTTGGTGCACTGACTCGTCCGGATCTTCCACGGGCTTCGGAATGTCCAGCATCTGATAAAAAAAAAAGACGAATAAGCATCCGGGTTTGGATGATTGAATAGTCAACAACACTTCGACGTGGATCTTTCACAAAGACACTAGCGCACGTGCATTAAAAAATGTAAATTTCAAAATTATGCCAATTTTTTACGTGAGCATGGGCAACTGATTTCCAGTGATCACTCAGTGATACAGGTATCCCTAAAAAAGGCCCCAATTTATTAAATTTTGGCACATTTCTGTGGCACGAAGTGAGTTGGCAGTAAATCGGATTTTTCCTCAAGAACACACTCGAGGGAGGTTTATTACCGAGAACTTTGGGGCACTAAATCGGGGATTGACTGCACTGTATTCTTAGAGACTGTACTGGAAGAGTATTCAAATTAACCTTCGCGGAATCAGTCAGTTCAATTCGTTTCTAAAAAAATGGAACGATTCCACTTTCCAACCGTTTCCGAGACTCAAATTCAACAAACAAACCTCATGTCCTTCCGCATCTTGGTCGACGAAGAAACCGGGTCGCCGGTTCCTCAGGTCCCGAATTTTCGACCAGAACACGGAAAGAAACTCGTCACACGCGACGACGAATCCATAGCAATCCACACACACTTCAAACGCGTCAGTGCCGACATCCGGACGAAGAGACTCCATCTTCACCAGGAAATCTTTCACATTCACACCGCACTTGAGCACTGCACTCAGAAACTTGTTCAGCCCTCGCCCCTCGATGGGCTGGGCGCAAACGCAACAATCCATCCCAACAACTGTCTACAAATAGAAAAGGGAGGTTTAGAAACGTGAATTTTGACTCTACAAAAAAGCGCGTAAGCCAGAATACTTGGGGGGAATGCGAACCAATATGGACAACTTGAATAAGGACTTTTCGACCTTTTCTGAACGATAATAGTTCCACTTCCACATGATACTTCCAAGACACAAATATGGAGTTGAACCACTTTGAATCAAATTTAAAGTGACCAGAGAAAAAAATCGAGGAAGGAAGGTTTCGAGCTAAAGTAATTTTGTTGCAAAAGTGAAAGAAGAATTGCAGAGAATTGTGATCGGTGATATTCTGGGCCTTGATTTGTTTCTTAAATAAGTTGACAGGATGACGAACTCGGAGAAAAGGGTTCATTTGCCTGATTAGTCCTTTGCTTTTTTCAGAACACATCGTTGCATTTTTTATCTCCTTCATCTTTTCTGTCAATAAAATAATAGCCGAACGACTTCCAGAAAATCCGAATATCCCGAAAGAATTCGAGTCAAAAAGGTTTCTATGGCATTGCTCCTACGAAAATTTAGGCACGGGCTTGAAAATAATATAATAGAGTTACTGTATTTGAATTAGGGAGGTTCCAGTGATGGAGGTTCAACTGTACCAATATATTTACGCAAATGTCACACAGCCCTTTTTTCCCTGGAAAATTGAAAGAAAATCAAGTGCAGTTACACATTGTTCCGAGAAAAAAATTATCACGAAATCAGTGGGGCGCAGGGAAAGGACGAGAAGGTGTCAAAACACAGCACATTTCATGATGAAAATTTGAAGGGCATCTTCTTCATAGAAATACAAAAGCATGAAAACAGCACACACACTCAACAACCGACACGAGCGACCTTCTCGTGACACTTGGCCTCATGGGACTTGAGCAACTCGCAAGTATAAAACTCCTCGTCGCAATCCAAACAACAAAACGTTTTATGCCCCGGATGAAAATTCGGAACATGCATCTTTAGTCCCTGGACATCCGGGGCCAGATACGTACAAAACTTGCAGAAAAAGTAGTACAAACCCGACTCTCGTTTTTCGACTCTTGAACGCCGGAGGCGCGAATTATGAAACGATTCCACGTGTCCGGGAAACGAGTCCGGATTCAACACTTGTCTGCAATCTATGCATGATATCCTGCCTAAGTATGAAGCCGAGTGCGTATCTTGGAAATGTGAGTCGCATTCTTCAGCAGAAGAGAAACTGCGGCAACAGTCGATGCATGCGACACCGTCCGTAAGGGCGTGCATTCGACGGTAGTGACGACTGAGGAACAACTGCGATTTGGCTACGAAATCGCAGTCGGCGCATTTGAGGCCTGAGGACTCATTCGACACACTTTTCCTGGGCTTGATGGAAGACTTCCGTTTCCTTCGAGGCTTCACATCTCCCGAGGCATCTTCGTCATCATTTGATTCCATGTCGTCATCGAATCTCTTCGAACGTGGAGCATTTTGCCTCTGGAGACGAAGAAAAAAAGAGCCACACAATTTAAAAGAGTAGAGACTCCTAGAAATAGGCATAAGCTTGAAAACACGCATTCCTAGGATGATTGTGAAATATGGGCAAGATTTCATTCCCAAATTAATATGAATCGATGTGATAATAATTCTAAAATAAGATGAATACTATAACTAACAAGGCTCATTTTATGTGCGCCTCCGGTGCGAGAAGTGCTCGGAACTTCCGGTGCTGGACGAGCAACTAACTTCGGAACAGTTTCTTCAACTGGAACAGTTGTTTTCCTGGGTCTCCCACGCTTTTTGTCACTCCCAGACGCTGAATTCGGTGCAGGGCCACCGAAACGGGGAGCAGTTTTCGTGCGATCTTCAATCTGTAAAAGAAAAATCGTGAGTTGATTACCGCGATTAACTATGACACATTGCTTCAAGAACTTCATGTGAGGCACAACGGTGGATTTTAATGGCACTGACCTGAATCTTTCCTTCGACAGGCTCCATACGCTTCCGGTTAGCGCGGAATTCGTTGACGTTCGACCAGAACATTGAGAGGAGTTCGTCGCAGGTCTGTGCTAATGCGAAACATTTGCAACACACGTGCTCGCCTGTGGCGGTTTTGTCAACGATCCCGTACTTGGTCACGAATTGTCTGATGGAATCGTAGTTCCGCAGCGGGGTGGAGAGTTCCAACGTCGAATACGACGACGCAAAAAATATTTTCTCCGAACAAACGGTACACATCCCACTTGTAGAGCCCATTTCAAATAAACATGAGATGCCTAAGACTTGCGAAGCACACACGGGACCCTGGAATACAGCATACCCATCCCGGATGATGAAAGGTAATGGCACTTTCATCCACTTCAGAACCGCTTCTACTCAATGAATATAAACTGAATGTGAGTAACAAATGACGGCACTTGACTCGAAGTACATTAAGGAAGGAGCAAAGGCCTACCACAAGCACTTGAAAGTCACAGATCGAAGCAATAACTACCAGCTNCCAACAAGAAGAAACTTCAATCTGTTCACCGGTGGAATCTCAGCTGAAACTCGCACAACACAGCAGACCTATTGTCACCATTAATCACGAGCTTATCACAGAGCTCAGCAGGAATTTTCAACACATCTCCCTTCAATATGAATAGGTCGCTGAACCACTGAATCACCCATCCAAACAAGGAACACCCACAAGCAGGGATCAACATGAGCATGCAATGATGAACTGCTCAAGATCCAGTATCTACACGATTATCAGACTAATTCAACTTACGATCCTTTTTGGACGAAGACATACGCTTCTTTTTTATTAGTGCCTGTGTACACAATCTACTCCATAATTTAGGGTGTGCATGATTTCAACACCTTCAGCAGAACTTGTCAAATATCCACTGTTCAACATAACTGACAATTAGTCAATTGAATTCCACAAACTAAAGTATCTAATCAAGATTCAAACTGAAGCCTCTCCCATACAAAGATGCACTTTCTCTTTCACTATCAATCTTCTCTGAATACTAATTATTTTGGACACATGGGGTTCTCTTCCCATAGAGGTTCTCAAAAACTTTTTTTCTGGTCCCTTGAATTTTGTTGCAGAGCAAGTTCACCTGTGTTTCAAAGCTGATCAAAATGTCATTGGAACAACTCAATTTAACATGATAAAAGATCACAAGGCCTACAGCAACTATAGATTTCAAGTTAGTCTGGAACATGGTGAGTCCTTTTATTTCTCAGGTTCTGCTACACAAAATTCTACTAGTTAATTCTGCTTTTACTCATTGCTGTACCAGCAACTCAGCCATATTGTCCAAGCATCTTCACATACTATTCCAACTTCCCTTAAAAGTATTTCGGCATCTTGGATTATAAGATGACTTTTCCATTCAACCCTATAAGGCATAATAGAATTTTGAAAGGCATTTGGATTACTATTTCTGGGAACCAAAGAAGAAGAGGATAACATTTTAAAAACGTTTCTGAAGGAAGAGAGAAACTAATTGGGCATATTTAACCATCATGATGCACAGGAAATATAAAATATATTTTCACTTATCAAAAAAAAGCAAACAGGATTCCATAACAATTCGATTTACACAAGTTTGTGGAGGAAAGCCCTTGTGTTAAGGTTTTTTTCATGTGTTTCCGAGAGAATTCAGTCAAGAAAGGGGACTCAAAATATCCAGGTTCAAGAGTATCATTGAATTGACTGGAGCTAATCCCAATGGTTTTCTACAAATCGCGATGTTCCTTCTTAAGTACATATTCAATACTTCGTTATCTCCAAAAAATACGTGTAATAAAAATATCCTAAGGAAAGTTTCATCCGCTACAAAAGAAGAAACATGCTGAATACGAAAATTGTAAAAAGTTTCTTCAATAGTTATTCCTATTCGAAAGCTCCGATGTCACATCTCCAGCAACGTCTTCTAGTTCGAGACTTTGCAGACAGCGAAGAGCAACGACGGCAAATGGTCTGATCCGTTCAAAGAAAGAATGCTTGCATAGAAAAGCCCCGATATAACGATATTCATCAGATACGCAATGGATTTTCTTGAAATGACATGAACAGCAAGTGGGAATGAGGGGTCACACAACGTTCGTACATTTAGATCCTTTCAAAAATCCGCGAATATTTTCTGCAGTACAGCGCGGAATGAAAACAAAAAAATAAATATATCTTGGAAACAGTCAAAGAGAACGTCATTTCAGGTAGAAGCCCATTATGATCCTCTGTAAGAAAACAGGAAAGTTTCAATATTCAACAGTACTGATGATGGTGAGACATCAAAGTACTTACACAATGATGTTGTTAATTGGGATGTGGATGAGCTTGACGAAAAATCCGATGAATCCCATGATTGCGAAACCGATTGCAGTAGCCATTGCAATCTTCTGGAATTCTGCCAAAAAAAAATTCTGATAAAACATGCCGGGTTTTCCTAATTTCGAAATCCTAGACATATACCTTTGCGGTCTGGCTTTGTACATCTTTTGACCAGACGCAACGAATCCTTGGCGAACTGCTTTCCAGGATCGGTAAATGCAATAATTTGATCCATTTCAAAACAATTGGTAACTCGCGTGTGTGAAGATCGGTTCAAATTTTTCTGCAAATAAGTCGCTCTAAAAAATTAGGCAAATCACTGACCGGTATTAAGCAATCTTCACATCAAGCAGTGAACAGTTGAAATAGATCACATGGGTTTTTCTCAAGGGACTCAATTCACAAAACACACAGGGACCACAAGCATCAGTGATACAGAACTATCGACTGCGAAAATCGACGAAGAACAATGACTACAGTGCACCTATAGATTGGTAATTTCAACGATACATTGGCTTTAACGAATCTTCCACCTCTGCGCTTCTGATAATCGATTACACTTAGGAACGCAATCATAGATCGTTTGAACTGGTTAACTATTTATCTAAGATTACGAATGCTCGGAATCTTGAAATCCGGAACTTTGTTGAGACACGTGGACGACCTTATTCACAGTTCAGTTTTCCATTCAGAGAATTCCTGCATCAACAATTACACGCGTTCGGAAGTTAAGTTATAATGCAGGTCTCAATCGTTGTCCACAAAGAACGATCATCGATTAACTGTTACAAGCTGAAGGAGTCTTCCATGATACGCGATTTGCTTCAACTGCATGGCTCCAACAGTTCGCGGTGCAGCTCCACGTGTTCCTCATGCTACGCTTTTCAAGAGCGCATGGTCGTCGCTCGAAAGCAATACATAGATGTCGCTGAAAATGGATTTGTTTCAGTGACATGACTGGGCTCATTTTATTTTATACAGCAATGGATTTCTCATAACTTGAATTCCACAAATGCTGGATTTTTTGTGGGACAGCAAATGTTGGAAGGTCAAAACTGATGCTGGCAGCTAAAACAGCATGTACAGTATCAAAAAAAAATGCATAGCTGATATGGTGCCTAAATAATATGGGCTCAATAAGTGAACAATTATCACCAAAACAATATGCAGTATGAAGCAAGAGGACTTCATAAATGCACCTTGTTTCACTCATGCAAAATTGCACTGCTCTATATACAGTACATACACATACACCCATCAGTTGTGATTCAATAATAGGTTATTTTGGCATCCTGCTGCCAATGCAAGCAGTAGGAAAAATAAACTCTGGCTTAATTTAGGCTGATACAGCATCAGCTTTCCCAGGATTATCCTCAATTCCCAATGCTGCTGGTTCCTTTTAGTTTTTTTTTTTTTTACCAATGACAGCTGTCCCAGAAGTCCAGAACCCACGGTCAGTTTGTACTTTCAGGTGGTGGGCCCCCTGCCGCCCGCCGGTTGACGCCCTTCCAGCCCCTCACTTATTTATAGCACCTCAGTTTGTTTCAACGGTCGTATTTACTGTAGAGTGAGCCCCTCGCTCACTTCAGACAATAGCATGCTCGATTGGACAGGTAATCGAAGATGGCGACGCGCTCAACGTAGTATTCCTTGGGTATGAAAGTTTGAAACGGTAAAATGTTGATTCCTGCGCCGTTAACGCCCAGATGTGCGGCGGACGTGAAACCAGGCATGTCCTGTGCCAGTCTGACGGGAGCAATACTGGCTTCTGCCCCCAATTTTGTCATTCTTATCGATGTTCTGCATCGCAGAATTTTCGAAATTCTCGAGATGCAATGCGGTAGTGTTTCCGCGACGAGGGTTTTGTATCTCGACTCTTCAGGCAACGTCGAAATGGAGGAAACGTTAACGTTTGGTTACTTGAGGGTCGAGTGAGAATTTCTGAAGAGTGCTTCTCATGGAAACGTATTTTCGTGAGGCTTGACCGTTCATCGGGTGAATTTTAATTCTCAGGACCTGCATTGTGTTGCGTTCGGCAGCTTAAATCCCGCGTGTGCTTATAGTTCTGCGTAATAAACGGTGAAAGAATCTAAAGTCATGTCTGACAACGAAGTTCAGGATGCCCCAAAGAAGCGTGGTCGCAAGCCTGCGGCACCCAAGGCGGAGAAGGTGAATTCGATTTCGGTTGTGTTTGTTTGAAATGTTTCACTTTTTAATCTGGTGATCTTCGGACTTGGGATGTGTTTAGCCCGCCAAGAAACGCCCAGCAGAAGACTCTGAGGAGGATATCCACGAGGACTCTCCGGAAGCCGACGCGCCGAAGTCGAAACGTGGTCGTGGCCGACCAAAGGGATCCACTGGTGGTGTTGCGAAGAAGGTAAGGCATATCACTCAAGTTTTCTATCCTTAATCCGATCTTTCAACTAAGGCCGATCCCCAAACTTTATGCTGTGAGGATTTGAGAAAGAACATGTTTTTCTCATGAGGATGAGATGGACATTTTTCTTCGAGAACAGTTTTCTTGGTTTACTATGGTAGAAGGCATGATTACCGGTTTGTTCAGGCTCTTGATACCCTGGAACCTCGGAAAGAACTTGTTGTGATGTAAACGTAGACAACCGCATATTTGAGAGATACGCGAACCCGTCCAATTCGCGAAGCATTTTGTCAGAATCAATGCCAAGGAGAACTAATTCAGTCAACTATGGTCTTCCTAAGATTCATGGATTAGAAATGATGTGCTGACTGTTCTTCGGATCTTTTCTCATCGGAATGTTATCCGTATTGCCCACAGCCAAAGGTTCCCGGACGTGGTCGTGGACGCCCAAAGAAGAATGCGTCTTAAAAGCCATTGATGTCGCCAGAAGAAAGAACTGCACGAGGCTCCGGTGCGAAAAATTTCTCTTAGCATTCTGATGAGCAAACGGAGCTCAGGTTCCCATTGGTTACTACTGATCTCGCCCATGGTTTTTTGCTGCGAGTTCATCTAATCTCGTCCCTTCTGCCAATGGGCAGGTTTCTCTCAGGACAACAGAACTCAGT